GTATTAAAAAAATTCGAATTTAAATTTGGTGTTGAACTAGGCAGAATAAAATTGGAAAGTCATTTGTTTTTTCCTCTTTCGTTAGCCCTTACGAAAATTATCAATAGGATCTTATTAGAATTCCAATAGGAATATAAGATTCCTGAAGGAAATCCTATAAGAAGGCAGAGTGAAATCGTTTTTATTCCGATTCCGATAGGAAATATATTAAGAAAAAGATGTCACTTTTAAAGCCTATAGGAATATTTAAATTCTTGTAGGAAATCCTATAGGAAGGCAAAGTGAATTCATTTTATTCCGATTCAGATAGGAAATATATTAAGAAAATGGCGGCAATTTTAAAGGCTATAGGAATATTTAAATTATTGTAGGAAATCCTATAGGAAGACCGACTCAATTCATTTTTATTCCGATTCCTATAGGAAATATATTAAGAATATGGCGGCAATTTTAAAGCCTATAGGAATAATTAAATTCCTGTATGAAATGCTATAGGAATCCATAATGGATTTGTTTTGCAATTCCAACTGGAAATCCTTTAAGAAAATAGTGGGAATTAAAAACCTATATGAATATTAAAATTCCTATAGGCTTGGCGCCTTCAAACTATTAGTTGATGTAAGTGTGGACATTGTACTTTGTCGAAAAAGGCAATCGAGTGTTTTTGTTGCTACGAAAGAGCGCTTGACTACGATGAGTATGAGGCTTTGCTAGGCCAAACAGAAACTCAAGGAGAGTATTGCTTGACAACACACCAAGAATTTATGGACAATATGCTGCCAGAAAGTGTGTTAAAGATAGACGTGTGTCGGTATTTTGAAGAAAACTGGTCCCTGTCTGATGAGGATCTGGAGAGAATACACAAGCTGTATCGATTAGTCGCATATCAAAGACGTTCTAGGTGGATTTTTCAAATTTTGGGAAGAAACATGAAAACCATTTCCTGTTTGTGTTTATGCTAGCATACGAAAACGCTTTGCGTCACCAGACGGACTTTATACGCATTTTTAATTTGCCAAAATATCAAAACGGTAATATCTTAATTTATTTTTAAAAAATTATGTTTGAACTCTACTCGATTAATACACTTTGCCTCTCTACATTTGCATTCATTTTGACATAACAATCCCAATGCTCTACAATCACACTTTGATGTGGCAAATTTTCCTTTACATTTACAAATATTTGTGTGAGGTCTGCTCCCTTGTGAACTTTCGGGTATAGCTGGTGTACTATATCTCGCTTTTTTGTTGGCTACAATTTGCTCCTTTGAGGGTCTGTCCTTTCCTGCTAAATATTGTTCAACAAGGGATTGTGGTTCAAGAGCTAGCATCATATCTGCATGAGCTTTAACCTTCTTCAAAGTCGAGTACTGGCTTCTTAGTTTTACGACCTCATTCAATATTAACTGCACATATCCTAAATAGGATAATTATTTATTGCTCTAGAGAAACTATCACCAAAACGTATTAGCCTTTCGATAATACTACTATTTTTTATCACAAAAGACCGTAAATTTAAAGTATTAGACAAATGTTCTTTGACGTTCTTTGTTATGTTCTGCAATTGCGATGCCATATCATTTTCAAAGGTTTGTCACAAACTGTGCAAAAGTAAAAGAATGAGTGATCCACCCAAAACTTGTATTCATTCATAAGTTATAAAGTTAATTGAAAAATGTACTTGTACATTGTGCACGCAAACAAGCACGTAAAACATTACGGATATACGAAACAGTACAGTCAAGAACAAAATACAGCGGCTTAAACATTGTCCTTTAACTCTTACAATTAACAGCAATTTTTGGCTGTTCTCCTGCATTTAAAAGAATTGTTTGACATAAAAATTAAATATTTATAGCATACTTCCGAAATACAAAGAAATTGCTGCATTTCGATTAAAACTATATACATTCATTTAGTTTGCAATGAAGTATATCTTAATCTTATTTTAATGAAGTATAACTTTTACGATTTGGTTTGGTTTTGCATTTCCATGATGAAAATGAGACAATTAAAACGTCAAGTATTGCCTGTATAACAGTTACTAAATAACAAAAATATATCTCGTAGCTCGAACTTGTTTGTTATTATTACTCCAAGTAACAAAATTACCACAGCTGTTCACACCGCAAGATTTATGTTCATAAGATCCACCAAAGCCAATGAAAGAGCCAGGTGTAGTACAGTCGTTTTCATTATTTCCCAAAATGCCAAGATTTACACGAGCGGTTTTACTATCTTCTCCAACGACGTTAAAGCCTTCTCCATCACAGTATTGTTGAAAGGAGCTGTTTTTAACTAATGTCAACCATTGGCTACGACTCAAATTGGTTTTCCTATATTTTCCGTCAGCAATGATGTCGTATAAGGACTCAGCTTGCATTTCAAAACTTATGAATTTTATTGTACTGTTTACTTTCATTCCAACACACATCTTCTTTATTTTAGTGCTCCAGTAAGTAGGAAGTTTTGTTTCAAGGTCATCTAATCCAGTTTCACTTTTTTCCGTCATATAACTCTCCTTGTTGCTCCAAAGCGATGAATTATATCGAATCGTTTTCTAAGTTTAATAATTTCGTATCATAAACGAACGAAAAATTTTTTGAAAAAACAGTGTTTATTTTGTGCATTAAAATAAAAAAGAGTATTTGAAATATATAATGTGAACATCAAAATTCCATCCATCAAAATGCAATAAATAATGATAAATTAATTCCATTTTCACTATCTTGATCGTATTGGTAATAATGCCCATTATAACTCACGATGTAAGCAATTTTGGCGATGATTGGTCAATTACCTGCAGATAATTCTCGACATCTGTATTTATGATGTCACATCTACGGATAATAGTTTCCACAATTATTGACGCCATTGAAAAAGGGTTTTGAAAAATAAAATAATAGCGATGTTTACCGTAATTTCTAAACACAATAAGCGAAAGCTTTTCAGCAAAAGTATGGAAAAACACTAAAAGCAAAGAAACTGCTTTTGAACATATTTACAGCATAATAAAGCGCGAAGGCCTGTAATAAACAAGTTTTGTTTCAGTAAAAATTAGCAAAGTTGTAAAAATGTTTTGCGTTTATCAGTTTTAATAATATTTCATTTAGTTAAAATGAATAATAAAACAATTATTGAATTCGTATTTCACATGATATCAAATATTATTCAGACCTCGGTCCTTGTTATCGGCCACAGCTTCGCTTTGGAAGATAACGTTGACCTCAGTCTGAATAATTCTTTATATCATGCTCAATCTCGTCAATAATTGCTATTAACACGTTGATTGCATATTTTTAATCTTTGCTTGCACAGACCGATGACAACTCGTAAACCAACCAAAATATTTCTTAGATAGTTTCATGCGCCAGTTTTACGCATAATACGTAAAATGAAACACGATTTACTGAATAATGTATTTCTAAATATAATACGCAAATCTAACCAAAGACTGCTCTCCCCAGTAGACCAATTTAGTGCCTGATGGGTGTCTCATTAACTTTGAAATATGTCATAGGCAATCGCAAAAGAGAGTGTTGACCTGATCATCGTCTTCTATTAAAATATTTTAGTAGAAAAAAGTTAGTGAACAAAGTCATTATGTTTTTGACAGCAAAATGCAATTTGGGAATTTAATGGTTTAAAGTCAAGAATAAGTTTTGAAAGTCGTGGAACTGTTGTATGGAGTTATGCAGATAATGTTATAACCATTGTCAACCATTATAATTGTTAGCATGTTCGTCATATGAATGAAGTAAAAAATCAACTTATTACGTTGCCTTTTTTCGGACAAAAGCTGCTTGTTTGATGGGGTTACAGATAATGGTTTTTTTAAGGTTGGCACAGCATTGCTCTTTAACCGTACTCGAAATGACTCCTCGCACTATATTTGTTGAAGAAATATTTTTGTGCACCCTGTTTCGTACGCGTCTTCAGCAAAATGGAGCGAGCAAATTCTACTGTTCGCCAATGGCTTGAGTGATTTCCTTTTGCAAAAATCAATCCATATTTTTCTTCTCTTCTGCTGTGCTTCTGATTTTCCATGAGGGAACTGAAAGAAATGAACATCATTCTTCTTATTATTTTAAAGTCGCTGTTGCAACCGTACACCGAGCAATACATGTTTAGAAAAAAATCTAAACTGAAATATACCTTTCTAATTATGAGCAGCATTTCATTGTGCATCAGCTTTTATAGCCAATGCATTGTGACAACAAATCCGTGCAGCGTGTTCGTGAAAGCTAACTCCCATTCCCGGAAACAGACGCAGCTATTCCGTTAACTCTAATTTTACGGATATCTTTGGTGTGTACTTGACGTTCATGTCATCAATCTAACAAGCATATTAGGTATTTTCCGTCTGATGTTATCACGAAAGACCGTAAATTTAAAGTCTTAGACACGCTCTTGGATTTTCTTTGTTACGTTCTGCAATTGCGATGCCATATCATTGTCGAATGTTTGTCACAAACTGCGCAAAAGTAAAATGCATGAGTGATCCATCCAAAACTTGTATTCATTCACAAGTTATAAAGTTAACTGAAAAGTGTACTTGTACATTGTGCACGCAAACACGCACGTAAAACATTACGGATAAACAAAACAGTACAGTCAAGAACAAAATATAGCGGCTTAAACATTGTCCTTTAACTCTTACAATTAACAGCAATTTTTGGCTGTTCTCCTGCATTTAAAAGAGTTGTTCGACATAAAAACTAAATATTTATAGCATATTTCCGAAATACAAGGAAATTGTTGCATTTCGATTAAAACCATATACATTCATTTAGTTTGCAATGAAGTTTATCTTAATCTTATTTTAATGAAGTATAACTTTTACGATTTGGTTTGGTTTTGCATTTCCATGAGGGAAATGAGACAATTAAAACGTCAAGCATTGCCTGTATAACAGTTACTAAATAACAAAAATATATCCCATAGCTCGAACTTGTTTGTCATTGCTACTGTAAGAAACTTGTAAACTTGCGTAGTGACTTTTACAGCAACATCTTGGGCTCCAAGATTTTGTTCTGTATTTTAATAATGTATAACTTTTACAGCGTTAAACGTATTGACTATAAATCGTGAATTTTCTATTTTAGTTAATTCAGTCTTTATTCATTCCAGTATTTCTAAAGAATGAACAAATTAAAAAATAAAAATATCAAGCAATGCCTTTAATGCAACAACTAAGCAATAAAAATATATCCCATTGTTCGAACATTTTTGTCATTGCTACTCCAAGAAACAAAATTACCACAGCTGTTCACGCCGCAAAAATTACAGTCATGTGATCCACCAAAGCCAATGAAAGAGTCAGGTGAAATACATTCGTTTTCATTATTTCCCAAAATGCCAAGCTTTACTTCAGCGTCTCCACCACGTAGTCCAACGACGTTAAAGCCTTCTCTATCACAATATTGTTGAAGTGAGCTATTTTCAACCAATGTCAACCATTGGCTACGGCTCAAAGTGGTCTTCCTATATTTTCCGTCTGCAATGAGCTCGTATAAGGACTCAGCTTGTATTTCAAAACTTATGAATTTTATTTTACTGTTTACTTTCATTCCAACACACATCTTCTTTATTTGAGTGCTCCAGTAAGTAGGAAGTTTTGTTTCATTTTGACCTAATCCAGTTTCACCATTTTCCGTCTTATAACTCTCCTTGTTGCTCCAAAGCGATGAATTATATTGGAACGTTTTCTAAATTTAATAAATTCTTAACATAAATGAATGAAAAATTTTTGAAAAACAGTGTTTATTTTGTGCATTAAAATAAAAATAGTATTTGAAATATATAATGTGAACATCAAAATTCCATCCATCAAAATGTAATAAATAATGATAAAATAATTCCATTTTCGCTATCTCGATCGTATTTGTAATAATGTCCATTATAATTCACGATGTAAGCAATTTTGGCGATGATTGGTCAATTATCTGCAGATAATTCTCGACATCTGTAATTATGACGTCACATCTACGGATAATACTATCTACAATTATAGACGCCATTGAAAAAGGGTTTTGAAAAATAAAATAATAGCGATGTTTACCGTAATTTCTAAACACAATAAGCGAAAGCTTTTGAGCAAGAAGAATGGGAAAAACACTAAAAAGCGAAGAAACTGCTTTTGAACATATTTACAGCATAATAAAACGCGAAGGCCTGTAATAAACAAGTTTTGTTTCAATAAAAAATTAGCAAATTTTAAAAATGTTTTGCATTTATCAGTTTTAATAATATTTCATTTTGTTAAAATGAATACTAAAACAATTATTGAATTCGTATTTCGCATGATATCAAAAATTATTCAGACCTCGGTCCTTGTTATCCGCCTCAGCTTCGCTTTGGAAGATAACGTTGACCTCAGTCTAAAAAATTCTTTATATCATGCTCAACCTCGTCCAATAATTGCTTATTATCACGTTGATTGTATATTTTTAATCTTTGCTTGCACAGACCGATGACAACTCGTAGTAAACCAACCAAAATATTTCTTGGATCGTTTCATGCAGCAGTTTTACGCATGAGACATAAAACGAAACACGATTTACTGAACAATATATTAATAAATATAATACGCAAATATAACCGAAGACTGCTCTCTTCAGTAGCCCAATTTAATGCCTGATGGGCGTCTAATTAACTTTGAAATATGTCATAGGCAATTACAAAAGAGACTGTTGACCTGATCATCGTCTTCTATTAAAATATTTCAGTAGAAAAAGTTAGTGAAAAAGTTAATATGTTTTTGACATCAAAATGCATTTAGGGAATTTAATGGTTTAAAGTCAAGAATAAGTTTTGAAAGTTGATTACTACATTCATCTTTACGTGCTTGCCGATATGATAAATACCCTAGTCGAGTCTCCATAAATTTATCTCATTTCCTTATTGTAATGTATCCATATCTATATATTTACGTTACTGTTTCATATTACTTTTATATAAACTTTGTATTATTTATGTAATTATTCACTTATACTGAAGATGGCATCATGAGATGCCAAAACATGTCTTTTCTTAAAAAACTCTTCGTCTATATTTATTGTAGTGCAGTTGTTGTATTTATTGCCTCGGATCAAGTGTCCATTAAAACCCGAGCTTGAGTGGTAACGACAAACGTGATCCAATATTAAGGACTTCTACGATTTAATGGAAATCAAGGTCAAGTAAAACATCAAATTTAAAAATAAAAAAGTAATATTTCAAAAAAATGATGCTCGTTAATGCAACGTAAATAGATTTTTATCAATCTGTTCATGCCTTCATTTATCATTAAATACAATGATATATGATTTTATACTACTACACTTGTTGAAGAAAAAATTTAAACATTTTTAGTTGTACCTTATTCCCATCAATTTTCATCACTAGTGTCCAACCTTCTCCAAAACAACCAGATATAATTTTTTTGCAGAATACTTTGCTGTAGCCAAGTGAGGTGTTTGTCTTTATCATGTACGCACCATCTGTTGAACTTTTACATTTGTTTAAAATAAATAAAACAATTTTGGAATCTGGATTTTTTTACTAGAATTTATTAATATAATATGTTATGACAAGCAACGTTAGCAAACATCAAGTTTTTTCAATTCTCTTTTTTTAAGAATAAAAAAGTCCCTATTGAGTATAATGATGGAGAGTTATGTATTATCTATTTAATAAATATGAAAAACATTTAGAATTTATTATGTTACTAAAATATAATGAACTGAACGTTTTAGATGATGTGTTTCCATAAAAGAAATATTTCAAAAAATGCAACTGATTTAAGAAATTTTTTTATCAAAAAGTAACATAAAATTAGAACTGATTGAGAACAGGTGGAGCGGATCTGTCGGAAACTGAAAAGGACTTCATCATTGTTAGTGGCATGCACAAAAATATCAGTAACGACGTCAAGAGTTGGGAGTTATAGTGGAGAGAAAATAAGAGAAGTGAGTTGGTTGTGAAAAGTATGTGACCGAGACAGAGTCCATTGTACAATACAGTAACGAACGTACATGTTATTTAGAGTATTTTACTAGTTAATACAACTTTGTAAACTTTGTTTTCGCGTGTTTACTTTAATCGATTGTGACTTATCGAGGACTACGAATTTGGAGGTATGATTCTCAACAGATCCATGATTTTTCAAACATCAGTCAAATATCACCGAAGGTGGGAAATTTTGAATTTCAAAGTCTCAGAAATGCCATTTTTATCGTTTTAGAGCAATAGAAATTTTTGGTGGAGTTCGTTTTTGCGTAAAAATAACACATTTCGCTAATGTTTTTTAAAAAAAAACTTTGGAGTTTACAAGAGTTGGATGTTATGCTAAATGTTAAGACTTATTAGCAACATAAAATTAAATTTACAATAATGGTAATCCAAAACAGTTAAGTTTTTTACGAAGTTGTCTTGTATAGACCCCCCTAGAGACTATAAATCACATCTCTATGTAATGCTTTAAGTTGGAAATGATGAATGGGACAGTTCATATTTTTTGACTATCGTCATAAAAATCATTTGCGAGAGATCCGCTTTTATCTCAATTGGCTATCAGTTGAAGTTGGTAAAGCCAATGACAATAAGACAAAAAGTTAGACGAACTATTTACAGAATAGCAATTGCACTTCCTTATCGGTTGGGCCACCCTGTTTATCGGCCGAGATTATTCAAGATGGACCAGTGATTAGGAAATTGACTAATAAAAAGGCTTACTTAGCGTTCTTGAACCCCATTATCGGTCAAACCAGTCGAGCCAACACGCTTATCAGTCAGTCATTTAATATATTTCCAGATAGGTTAATTTCAAATGATCTGTTTGCCAAGGTGATATTTATATACGTTTTCAGATATAAAACAAAATTTTGACAATGAAATTCGAGCTAGTTTAAATCAGGAATTTAATGATTACAAAAAATTTGAAAATTTAGCAATCTTACATGTAATTGTTTTAACTTACTTGTTTATTGTATTTCTATGAGCTATTGCATAACGCATGTTCTATGAGTTATTCAAGTGAGATATGCGCATACAGATCATGTGTTCAGTGTTTAACTTTACAAGTGATGCCAACATAAGAAAAAAACCCATAGGTTGAGAAAACAAACCTAATTGGTCTCTCAGGCATTAATGGGAGTGGGTGAATCCTTATAGTTTCCTTTTCTAATAGCTAAAAGAATGACAATCAAAATTCAAATTTCAGGTAAGCCTCGTTTAATTCTTAAATTTCTATTTTGTCATTGGACTACGTCACTAAGGAGTCACGTTAGATATTGAAAATATTGGGATTATGAGCGTACGCAATAGTTAAAACCTATAAAAGAAACAATTATTCTGGAGAAAACCACTCTCAATTAATAATAATAACACGATCTTTTGCTACATTTGGTATTGTGCACAAGACTGTAAAACGCTTGCCCAAAATTCTCTTTATTGTGCAGGGAATTATGTATTTATCCATAAAGCCTGTTGTGGGATTCTTGTAATATCGGCATTGTTCCATATTGTTGCAGACGATGAGGCAGCTCTGGTGCTGTGTCCCGTGAAATGAGTAATTCCAGCCATTTTCAACATTTTTCAAGCCACCTTGATAGAGTGTCAGATGTTACGATTTTATGCGGCTTTTGGTAACTAGTATAATCAACAATAGTTTATTTTTACTGTCTTGTATGTCCCTTGCTCTTACCAAATAATTTTTAATATCTTGAAGGGACAAGAGGTAACGTTGTCGGTGAAGGATTTTATCACTAAATGGCACTGACTACTGCCAGGTCTTGATGTTCTGAGTAATTTTGTGAATTAAAAGATGCACTCGTCACCTACCAGTTACAAATGCTCAATAGACAGTGCTTTCAACGTTTGCCATCTATGCTCAGAGATAAAAGAAAAAAGCATAGTTAGTTTTAATTTTATTTTTTTACAGTAAACCTTCCTGCATTTTGATAGGACTCCCACATATTGCTTTCTGGGACATTCAGTTTCTTCGAATTTGCCGGTCTTGCGTATTTTTTCATATTTTCTTCGATTTTTGTGTGGGTTAGTTTAGCAGACTAACGTTTGTTTCTAATGTCAAGTTGCTGATTTATAATTGGACCTATGTACTTATCTTAATGGAAATCTTTCGAATCTTCAGTTAGCATAGCGTCCTATTCTTTTCGAGCAGTTTTGACACTTTTTTCAACCTCTATGTTGGTGTTGGCCAGGGTGTCATTTCGTCCTAAACATCAGATTTTTTTAAGCTTTTCGGTCGTTTCTTCATCGGTTCATCCGTTTCCATGTGTTTTACATGCACCACCATAGTATATTGATTACTTCACATATTTCATGGATTTTCCATTGCTCAATAAAACTAAATTTAAATTTTGAAGAACTTTTGTATCTGTTTCTCGTTGATTGGATATTTATCGATTATCATTCAATACGTCAAATTCTTTGAGATCATACTGTAAAATTTCTTCCATATCAGATTTTCTCGCCATGTATAAGATTTTGCTATCGTTACTAATGAACTAGCGTGGGAAAATAAACACTAGATTTGCACAAGCATATCTCACGTAACTCCTTAGTGATTTAGTCCAATGACAAAATAGAATTGTAAGCATTAAATTTGATGACTAATTTTTGATCTGTAAACATCAGTCGCGTGACTTTTTTTATTTAGTCTAGATCCGCCCCAGATAAAGACTATTTCAATAGTTCATTATGTTTTTAGTTAAATAATTATTTGCTTTAATGAGAAAATAAAAACCAATAAAATCAATGTCTATCGAGTCATTTGTCTAAAGCTAGTTACACAAAGCCTAACTATGTTTTTTTGTCTTATGTTTACCAACCGCGAAAAAATAAGCGTGAGCGTGGAAATGAGTTCAATGAGCGTGAAATAATAACAAGGTACACAAAATTTTTTTAACCATATAATGAACACGAATTCGTAATAAATTATGAGTTAGGCATACTATACCTGTTATCTTTTTGTGCTTCTTTACATGATGAAAAAGCTGAAAAATAAACGTAAAGAAGCTTTAGATAAGCATAAGTCAAATGTGGGACGACCTTAAACAACATTTAATATATGGGAGGTATTAAGACCTTGTTAATGGAGCATAATATATAAAATGTAGCTAACTTTAATTTCCTACATTTCTTTTTATTGAAGCGTTATTGAATTTACTAAAGAGCGCTTTGAATTAAAAAATCAACCAACCATCAATGCTGGTGAGCAACCAAATTATGTAAAAACTAGCTGACGAAAGAGTCTAACAAATAAAATGCAAATAAGAGAAAACAGCAGAACTGATTGCAAACATTGATTTGAGGAAATAGAGACAGTAAACAAAGAGAACTAAAGCGATCTAGCAACTTGAATTTAATTGCATGAGGTCAATATTGAGAAAAGTAAATAAAATAACACCGTGGTCAATCTGATAATGGAAGAAAGATGAAACATAGAAATACATGCCATTACTAAGTAACATGAATCGATTATCTACATTTCCAGCTAGACACAAAAGAAAAATTATAGAGAAGAAAAGAATAAATAATAAGAAGCAAGACTTATCAAAAAGACCGAGATATAAAAGTACTAGTAGTTTGGATTTACAGAATTCCTAGTTCAAGAAACCAACCCATAATAAAGTCAAAATTATTTAATATAGTGTATCTAGGTTAGCAGGGCTATAGCTATGTTGCTAACTGCAGGAGGAGTGTTAACCCTAACCCTAACCCTAAACCTACCCCCTCCCTTATGTAGAGAAAATCAAAATGTGTTGATGTTAACATATGCTAAAGTAGATGGTTTGAACCGGGAGTATCGTTACAAGTTTGTAAATGTTGATCGTCCAGTCAAAATGACTCTGAAGATGACTACCGCTAAGGTTGTCGAAACGTCAGTCAACAACAACAAAAACAGTCCTTCTCAGGACTATACCAACCTGGACGATCTACATTTACAAATATTTAACATATGCTATTATCATTTAGAGAACCATATACTTCCAATTTAGTGTGCTGATGGAGTTTTAAGTGTATTGAAGCTTTTCATAAATTTAGTACTGATTTCCTGCTTGATTGTATTGATAATGATGAGCTTGTATGTGTGGCTGTGAGCCTTTTTTTTGTGGTTTCATGTAAATTGTAGATGCAGAAAATTCCTTGCACAATAGCAACTGCACAGAGAACTCTTCAGATTTCTCAACAAAGAACAAAGTTTTAAAACTGCACAGAGATGCTCTTTATTCATGATCCGTGATTAAAAGATCTCGATAAAGACACTAATACATTCATACCTTGGCACGAGTTACATTCTCCTGAAAATCCTTCCATACACGTGCAATTCAATGTTCCATTAATTTTACGATAGTATGTGTAGGGTCCACATGAAGGAAAGCGAAAAGTTTTTGTCGCTATATAGATTAATAAAATCAAAATTAAAATCAACCAGTGATTTTAAACGAAACATATTCTTCCTCAAAGAACACAATTTGTCACTCAGTATCCACTATGACGTGCCCAGCTAGCAAGTTTGCTATGTAGTGGTGGTACCTTTGGTGTTCACGAATATCGTAAAAACAAAACAATTAAATAAATGTTGAAAATTCACAGAGTATGAACAAATTTGCTGGCTGTTTGGACACTATAAAGGATGTATCTAAGAAGTTAGATAATTGAAAAATGTTAGAAAATTATCAATTCATCAATAGTTCTCGCAAAATGTGTCAAAACTCGTTTATTTTGGCATTGCCTTGTGTTGTTTATTTAAATGTAAAATGAATTAAAAATTAATTTCGAAAACCATGAGAGTACTTCGTAATTGCTTTAATTTGAACTGCATGCACAAAGAAAATGAAAAGTTTCAAATCTAGTTTAATCCAAAGATGTAAAAGTTTGAACTCTGTTTTGCAATGTACTAAAATTTTAGAAAATTTGATAAATATTAAGCTCACAGCACAACATGCTCAAATTGGACGTTTTGTCTTTCAATCTTTTTTCATGAAATTTTTTCTTATTTAGGACTGATTACAAGCCAGTTTGATTGTTGAAATCATGTAAGAAACAATAAAGAATTAAATTTAACACCCAAGAAGATTGGCAAGAATAGACAAACGGCAAAAACGTCTAAATTAGACATTTTGCACTTTGAACTTAATGTTTATCAAATTTTCTATAATTTTGGAGGAAGAACAACCGTTTACTTAGGCAATGTAACTTTGAACTTTTTAACGTCTTTCTATTTTATGTACATTAGCGTGGAAGTTTTTGCAAGTCTTACATTATTATGTCAAATAAGTAAATATTTCACTACCGTTTAAGTCAGGAGTGATACCGTGTATAGCTACAGCCAAATCAAGATAACCGTTGTTTACAGGAAGAAAAAATTTACGCCTCGTACGTTGATCTGTAGTGTTATGGACACTAACGACACTTCCTCCGACATTAGTCATGATATAAATGAAATCCCCAAATATTGCCATGGGACCTCCTGAAGTTCCAAAATCAATTACATTATGGGAGTAGTAATCACAAGAAAAAACATTTCCGTTTGAAACTCGCCAATAAATTTTCTCTTTGACCATGTCAAGCGTTAGATCATGTGCTATTGACCGAATTGAAACTGAAAAAATATGATGTTTATTTGCAGTCATGCTCCATAACCATAAGAAAACTTCTGTACTTTCTGCCAAGAATAGATACCTTAATAAAAATATTTGTTTTGTACGTTAGTTTTCTCTATACGTACTGAAATATATAAACAATAAAAAGGCTAATATATGCAAGAAAGGAAAGATAGTATGTTTTTTTTAACTTAGACAAAGATGTTGTCAAAGTATTCAGAACTACCTTCATATATAGACGGTTTAATGTAACATATTCATAAGATTTGATAATATAGCAACATAAAGCTATTGTAACTAAAAGGAAAAGCTCATCTTTATCATTTGAAATCTCTCTTTTAAAAACCGAACTAAAATATATGAAGTAGTTAAACATTGCATGTGATTCAGAGCATAATTATTGTAATATGTTATTTTTATTCACATAACTTCTAAAATGATTGGTATTGTTTAAGATTATTGTAGGAACGAGTAATGCTGTAATTTGGAGTGGCCGCTGAATGAATTGTATTGGTAATTGATAATGCAGAAAATTAGCTGATGCGTGGAAATTTTGTTCGAATTGAAAATTTGGTGTTGGTAAATAATATGCACTATTTAATGTAGATATAAATAAAGAAAGCTTTGTCATTTCAATTTTAAGCTTTCTTAATTTTTCAGTTTCATCTTGCATGAAAAGTAGCAGCTCTTTGGATGGATCATCGTCTACAAATGTCTTTAAAAGAGCTATAGCTTCACAAAAATTGTCTTTTGTTGATACTTTTTTTCAGTTTGTTTGGACAAACGATTTTTTAAAACTATCTTAACCTTCTCTTTTAATTGTCAAATTTTTTGATTATTTTTCTGAAAAATCAGAAAAAGATTGACACTGGAGCTAGCACTATTGGTACTATTTGAAAATGATGATTCTATTCCAAGGTCATCTTCGTGTTTTTAACAACTTTGGATTAGAAAAGCTGCAAAAACTGCTTGAACACTATGGCCTTTACTTTATCAAAAATATTTGATGCAACTGGCAGTTTTGATTATCGTCGGAGCATATTTGTATTCTCCAATACATTTCTTAAATATATTACGCATTTGACTAACAGCAAAGTCCATTTCTTCTTGTCGTTCATTGCACCTTGCCCCGAACTCTTTAAAAACTTTCTCGTATATATTACCGTTCTTTTGGCTTTTTGTGTTCTTGAAAATTAATTTTTTCTTGTAATATGATAAAAATTAATGCCAAACATAAAGTTTTAAATGGAGCCATAGAAATAGACCAAAAGTTGTAAAATTGAATTTATACTGACGTTTCGTCCTTACTCAAGACATATTCAGGCAAGTAATAAATTATAATGACATGTTAAGACAAGATATTGTATTTACAAAAGGTGTTAAACTACGAGTAAAGGAGGCGTTGTCAAAAGTATTACATGATAAAGAATTTGGGAAGTAAAATATAGTGAAGTTAAGAGAGGTTAAGTGGAATGGAACCTCCTTGCACGAAGAGTGAAGGCTTGTATTTATTGATTAGAAGGCTCTCATCAATGAAGAGTTCATAGGAATTGTTAGAAGAGGAAATTATTTTAAACTCGTAAATTATTTATAATATATTCTGAAAGTTATCGCTCAACAAGGCTTTTCAGCCAATTTCTTTATAATCACATGATTATTATCTTCAGACTCATCATCAGTGGAGCAACTACCTACCTAACGTTTTCCTAAGCTACACAAAGAAAGAATGCATGCACTAAAGGTAGTGGAATGATTTTCCATTCAGGTGATTTGATTGGTTGTGTGATTGGATTTATTAAAGGGAAGTGTGCAGCCACTTAATTTGCAGCTCTCGACTTTTCAATATACTCTGCCATTCAATGCAATTTAAAAGAAAGCTTGAAAAAACTATAAACTTGATATAATGATGATGTTTTTTTAAATTGTCACATTTTTTGAAAACTAACTACGTCGGAATGTGTGTAGTTCTTTTTATCTTCATTACAAAACGAAAAGTTGATTTTTTTTACGTTCACCACATTCGTGAATATTTTAAAACTTTATTGTCATTCCGTATTGATATTGTTGCACATCTCTTACACTGCCTCAAAAAAGTATACAAAAAAGCACAGCATAGCAACCAACAATGCTCCCAATTTGTTGAAATCTTATTTGTAGGGCATATCTTATTAAGCATATGATTACCATGGAGGCGTCAAGCAAATTGCTTTTTCTGACAAAGAAAAAAGCTCTTAGGTGGCTAGCGAAGCCAGTAATGGAATTAAATGTACAACACTAAGTTGCACAGTGAAGTTGTACTACTTTTTTATAGGTTGGGGAAAGCCAAGCTCTGTGAGTGTTTGACTAAAGTTTTATGTGCAAAGTAATTATTTAATATTTTTTTCAGTTTCTACCGCTCTGTTTCATTTCATTTAATGACTTCATCATATATAAACATTGATCCCTCGTTGTTACCTTTTTTTCTCAAAGCTCTTTCCTTCCTTAACATAAATATCACTGTCGATTTTTGCAATTTCATGATCTGCATGTTATTTTCTACTGCATGTGTGCTGAATGATCACACGAAATGTGTTTAACATTGCAGTTGGTTTGAAATGCCATATAGTAACGCAATAAAATTTTTCTTGCCAAATCTCTCCGAAAGACGTTGATTTTAATAAAAATCTGTCGAAATATATGAGGTTTGTTTCTTTATAGCCAACAAAATACTTAATATTCGCTCCCTCGGGAAAAAGCGAGTTTTGTTTTTCCTCGAAAATAGATATGTTTTTTCTATTATTAAACCTTTAAATAACAAACCATAATACGGACTTCTAAAATTCAACTTTTCTATTAAATTAAAACACCGTCTCTAAAAATAAAAACTCTTACCTTACTGAAGAAAAGCCTCCAATAGACTGACATAGTTTCGTAATTTTGCGTTAACAAGTTAATAAAAAAAATTCAATATCGCCTTACCCATGTTTTGAGTCAAATGCAATGCTGGAAAATTGTAAGCCTGGTTGAAGCCTCATAACACTTGTAATTTTCTTTTTCAAACAAATTTGGTAGATAATGTTTGTGGAGTCAATGTAAAAGATACGACGACCAATCCAGTCAACTGTAATATCACGAGCAGAAACATTTTTCGCAAAAATTTCGTTTCTAGTCAAGTCAAAATTTCCTCGTTTGATGTCTTTGTCATCAATGTAGTAAAGCACATTCTCAACTACATCAATTTCGATGTCATTATATCTTGATGCATGGTCAAATTTATTCTTACTGGATCCATTAATAGAGCTGACATGAATATCTCCAGTAATAGAATCGACAGTGTATACTTTATCAAAGCTCATAATAATCAAATATGGCTTTGGATAAAATTCTAAATAAATAATAAAAAAAACTATAAATAACAACGATGCGAGTGGATTAAAAAAATGCAAATTTTTATTGACTTTACGATCATAATATTTGGTAAAAGACCAGAATCAGTATTTTTAGAAAGAATTTTTCACTGTAGAAATATTACTAATAACTGAAATTAGATTGACTGCATAACTTCTACCTATTATTGTTGCATATTTTTATTTTAGTGCTATGAACAAGAATCTATGAAAATTTATCAAATCTAAAGTTTATACCTTCGTAAAAACACATTTCTGTTTGCATTTGCATCATTTCTTTGTTGTATTGTTTTACTTCCTTGCATGCAGTTGTGTTATCGTCATTGCCATCTTTATCAACGCAGGTTTCCATCCATTCTTCCACGTTATCCTTTAGTGTCTCTAAGCTTTTCTTGCAGATTGATATGTCGTCATTTCCATTTACTATTTGCCCACAAATAGACAGGATTATAAGAGACCAAAGAAACGCTTTTGTTGAGCTTGATATCATCTTTATTTTCTATTTGTTAGAAGGTGAACGATTATTAATTTCTTTAAAGCTTTCGTAATAAAATTTCTACTTTATTTATGAAAGGCTTATCATCAATATAATCATATATTCATTTTGTTCTTAGCCTTTTTTGTGATGTATAAATCAAGTATTGATTTCTACAATTACGTAACATTTTAACTTCTTTCTCCAAAAAGTATTTTCACGTTTACTTTCAGAAAATTGATGATGATTGAATATTGTTGCAATAGATTAGACAAATTGTTCGTTACAATGACTAATTTTACAACAATTCATATAAGTAGAGTTCACCCGCGTATAACTTGTTTTGCATAAATAGATGTAAGGTTTCTAGGCAACGAAAGCATAGAGTGAAATAATACATTTCAATGTCCATTATAATTAAATGACGCAAAATATGAAATTCACCAAGGCAGTTTAGAAACAATTTAAAATGGGTTGATTTCAAACTTGCTCATGTGAACTTAGTTTACCAGATGAATGGGAAAGACATATTGCTTAACTAAGCCAGCAAAGTTGAGTGCAAAATAGTCTGTTGCGCAGTGTTTAACAGAATCACGAGGCCGCTATGCAATACATGATATTCTGCTTTACAACATCTGTCAGTCGTAGAGAGAAGTTTGACTCTCAAAATTACATAATTTCTGAATTGAATGAAATTTATGAGCATTTTGATAGAACTGCTAAAATAAAAAAAGTCAAAAAAGCTAAATAGAGGAATGCAACTTTGCAGTTTTAAAAAAATTCTTACTTCTTCAAATATTTGTTTCAGACAATTAAAAGGCATTTGCCATCTGTCAGAAGTATTCTTGCAATATTGAATAATCGTAGCAGAAGTAACAAGAGACGAGAAATGTATCATTTGTGAATGTATCATTTATTTTCAATGCGATTGCTTTTAGAATTTGTGAAGCTCCTTATCATAGCAGACGTAGAGTAGCAGTCAAACAATGCAGGTTGCTAAGATAGAAGTAATGTTGATGAAATTGAAGGAATCTTATTGGTGGGCAAATAATTAGTTATGCTACTAGCAACTGTTGCTACCATACAAGAAAAGTTTTAATTAAAACAGTGGATTTCAGTAAATGGACATCTGTTTTTACATTTGTAGTTCACCCATTTCATCTAAACTCTCCGAAATTATGTAATGCTACACACATTACGTGTGTCCGCCTAAAAGTTTGTCAATCTTGAGTACTTTAACGCAGACCGTATGGCGTAGTTATATTATGATGTATTTCACTACATATGGCCTTTAGAGGGTTAAGTACAAGTTTCGGTTAATAGAAAATATATGACACTAACAGGGACCTGTTATGACTCATATCAGAACAGTTTTTCTCTAGAAATCCCATGTCTGAAAATAGTGACATTTAAAACGGTACGAATCTTATTTTGTGAGAATAGACGAACTTAGTAGCTATCATAAGAGCAACAAGAATCCCTTTGGGAATATCGCTAATATATTTTGAACGCTTAGTTAGTCATTTTATCAGACATCAGAAACCAAACAGTTAAAAAAATTTGTTCTTTGAACAAACGTCTCTACTTATATATGGCAAAATTCGTGTAAATCAGACGTACCTTTGTCGAGAGGAGTGAAGAACTTGTTCAAATCAGAAATTTGTCAATATACCGTTAAAAGTCTTGAGAAAAATGATGCTATCTGTTTATCATAGCAGACGTAGAGTCGCAGTGTAACACTGCAGGCTGCTAAGATAGAAGGAATGTTGATGAAATTGAAGGAATCTTATTGGTGGGCAAATAATTAGTTTAGCTACTAGCAACTGTTGCTACCATACAAGAAAAAAAATTTAATTAAAAACAGTGGATTTCAGTAAATGGGCATCTGTTTTTAAATTTGTAGTTCACCCATTTGATCTAAACTCTCAGAAATTGTTTCCTCTCATTTGTATTTAGCATTTCCTATAGAATTAGCATATCTTACAAAACATAAACAGTCTGCAAGTGAAGAATGTCGAGTCACGATAAAACTTTTACATACATTAATTATTCATAATGACACGAGCACTACATGCGGTCGTTTCCACAAAAACTAGCTAATACATGTTTGAAAATTCAACTAACAATCTTATATTCTATAATAATAAAGTACGCTTTATCAAATGTCTCCAACTAATGATACATGAACCAGCCGACATGTATGCCATATTCGAGCATGTTTTATTTCAATTCTATATTTTGTGAAGTTTATTTGTGTAAGGTGTTTTAATGAAGATGTTAAACATTTATGTGCATGTGTATATTGTACGAGACTTGTTAATTGCAAACTTTAGGTAGTTTCACTTCTTTCCTGGGCACGTGCTGCTTTTTAGCCATGGCCGTTTTAATGAAATATTGGGGCTAAATTGGTTATTCTGTCTAGAGCTGAATTTCACACAAAAGGGGAAAAATAGCTCGCTATGGGGCTAAATTGGTCCTATAACCGGGGGCTGTCTCATCTACGTTTTGGGGGTAAAATTATCAAAATAAACGTGCCGAATTTGTTCACTCTTAAAAGGGCAAAAATTGGCTCTAAAGTGTGGGGCAGTTCTGGGGTCAATATTTTGGCTCCATATTGGGGGCTAAAATAGCCTTTTTCCTTTTACTGTGTTGAAATGTTCTGGAAAACTAAATTATCAATAAACGCAAAGACGAGGTAGCTACGCAAAATGTATAATACCATTCATACCAACAAGATAGCTCAACAAAATTAAAATTATTAACAGCAACTTTTGCAATAAGTTAAAAAAATCCATAAACATCCTCTCTGTAATTGTCAGCGTTCCAACTTTGAAACGTGGTCAATGAAGTTTTGTCATTTTGTAAACTTTTGATCCGGATAAACAATTTATTTGATAAGGGGGGTGAGAAGCAAGTAAAAGTTGGGTGACTTAAGATTTTAGGGAAGTCTTTAATTGAAAAGGGATTTTCAGAGTAATTTATCTCGAAGTCCCTAATTTTGATTAATTTTGTCACATCTCAGTAATCAGAGAAACTTCAAAATTGATGGTGTTCATACTTGACAGTTCATCATGCAAAGTTTTGTCATTTTGTGAACTTTTGACGCAAACAAATATTTTATATTGTCTATCTTACTACAAGTTTAACAGTTATAGAGCAGAAAAAATCACATGTACTATCACGTGAAGAAGTAAGCTTTTCACTCCAAGTAGGCGCAATGTCTAAAGACATACCTAGCAAAACGTTTTCATGTCATCATCTGTGATAAGAATAATATAAAAAGATAGATGACTATGTGAATGAGAAAAAAAGCCATGTTAGATAAAATTAAAATTGTTGCATATAATTATATGCAAAACTGAAATTCTGTGACATGTCATAATTTAGATTCATTTTCTTGACTTTTAGCCCTGCCGTACCAATGATATTTAAAAGACTAATGAAATTAATTGTTGGTGATAATGCAAGAAAGGTCAGTATTTTGAAATGATAAATTATCCAATGTGTTATTGGAAAAATCCCACGAAAATTAACAGATGCATCAATATAAAACATATGAAGTGCGAATTCCACCATGAAAACGACATTTAGGTTTTTTATGACAAATATAACAAAATTCTAGACATAAGAACAAACAATGACACTATGATGGGTAAAATTCAAAATAGCGTTCGGACTTAAAACTTGAAACTCTATTCATTAAATCTGATTTATGTAGTTTTCGTTTCAGGATGCTTTATATTTTATTGCTTGGCGCAGGCAAACAAAGAAGTCAGTCTTTTGAAGCCTTGCGAGAAGAAATTACTACTTGATAATATTGTCACTACATAGAAAAGCAAAGGTTATCTACAGTCAAATAATCTTAGCAGCGAAGAAAGTCATGTGAAAAAGAATGCTATTACCGATTATTCATTGAACAGTATAGAGTATGTTTGATGTACACAATGTTTGGTGGTAAGTACAATTTACGAGTTACTTGCACAATTAGTAGTAGCTGATTTATAACCATGAGAAATAACCTTTTTCTACTGTTTCAAAGATCTTCTTTCTAACGTTGTAATATGAACTAACTATTATACCAATTCGATCGGTTTAAAGAATGCTATCATCCATAGACATGTGACATACATTCAAAGCACAAGCTTACCATTAAGGTTTGCTATCAATTGCTGTGTCGTGTTAACAAATTGTGAGCACATTTTATGCTGTGTCATATTGATAAATTACATGGATCAATAAGTGTCATGTCAGAAAAAGAAGATGAGCATCAATGAAATTAATTATCCGTGTCTTCTTCACAAATCCACTTCTTGCTCATATTTGTACGCATCACGTACCTAATTTGCAATGGCGAATGCATATTTGCATGTTTTCGTGAAATTCCACGCACAAAACACGAGTGTATTTTACGTACAGTGAACAGTGGACATTGAAAATAAATCAGGATTTAAATGTGAACTGTAATAATGGAATAAGCTCTGTGGATATTTGATTAAAACTTAGAGAATTTATACATCAAACCTGGGATGTTGAGAGGGAAGTAATAGTGATGTGGCCAAATGATTTGGGAAATTTCGAAAAGATTCTTTAGTTTTTAATTCATAAATTACGATTATAATTTTGGGCGTATCTACAGACAGTGTTAACCAGTTAGCACAGTGAGAGTTGTTCAAAAACGTTATACCATATCTATTATTAAACATTCATGAAAGTACATCATTCACATCAATCATTCAACATAAAAGAACTTGAATCACAATTTTATCAGTAAACATTCTTGAAAGAACGCAAATTTATCATGACTTATTAGATAAATACAAAATTAGTGTAAAGTATAACTAGTGACGACAATTTAAGTATTTGGTAAAAGATTTTCAAATTTCTCCTTTTATGTAAGAATTCAACAAGAACAATTGCAATCTAATTCAACTAGATTTCAACATTTACCATTGGCGGAAGAACATTGATAATTTGGCGAGGGCTATATTCATATATTCATATGTTATAATCGGTAAACACAATATATTTCATTAGAAACTATTAAAGTACAACATGAATATATAAATAGTTCCATCCTCCCCCCACGAATTATTAATGTTCCGTCTCCCTTGATTAAAATAACAAATGAGAGAGATGATGTTTACAGTGGATTTAGCCTTGAACTCAATAAACTGAACTGACGCATTTAACAATAGTTCATTAAATATTCTTAACCTTTGTAATTTCCTTGTACAAACTATAAAAGATGTACTATTGAAATGCTAAAAATAAAAATCAAACTGTTGCCTAATGAATACAACAATAAATGAGAAGAATTTAACTTGTCGTTTTTACGATTTAACTCAGTCTGAGAACTTATGTGTTTGAAAATAGAGCAATATATACGTCCTGTACAATTGACAGCACACATAGAAACTGACCAATCAGAAGACGCACGTGTTTGTCCATTTTTGGGGCATATTTCGAAGCTAACTCAAAGAACACGTGACCTGCCGTTTGAATCTACCTGGCCATCATTTAATACGTACTTGAAGAATAGTTATAGTAGAAATACAAATCACGCTTCTGTGACATATTTGTTGGAGTTCTCTGTAAGCATGCAAATTCAGGTAAATGTATTTTTGATGCTCATTTTGACAGAGTTCTTTTTATTCCATTAAAGTTCAAAATGTTTACGCTGATTTCTAATGTGCTGTGTGAGGTCTAAATATTTGTTGCCATAAAGTTTACTTTTTAGAAACTAATGTTTGTTCTATGCTTGATTATAGACTTGAAAGTTATTTTGTTGTGCGGCAAATGATCACCAAATACTATGGAGAAACAAAGATTAAATGTTGTTAGTTTATGAATGTGGACTCGTACGTATATCTAAAGAAAGTATTTATTGTTCACGGTGGACATCCATGTGATTTTTCGAAGTGGAGCTACACGTATGATGTTCATTTTAAGTTTCCATTTACGTTCGTCATTTTTGTCTGTAAAATATTGAGCAAATCGTGAAGTAACATTTACTTAAATTATCTTATTTAGAATTCTTCTGAACAATGATGAAGTGTAAACAAAAGATGTTATTCTTAAGCAACGTTTTCATCAGATCAACAAAAATGTCACTAGACAATTCACTGTTTCCTTAAAGTATGACTATTTTAAAACTTTTTCTAGGCATTTTATCAACATTACAATTCCACTTTGATGAATCAATCACAAAGACGACAAATGGTGAGAACAATACCCTTAAAACTTTTCACAACAATAGCAGAATATACTCACCCAAATTCTTATAATCATTCTCAGTTCGTAAATAAACTAAATATGTAATTTCACATATTTATATTTCACATATTAATTTCACATATTTGTATTTGCAGCTGAATAAAACTACGTTATCATCGAATGTCTAAATTTTAAAATTAATTGAATTAAAGTTGCGGAATAAAAACATGGAATTTTCTTGAGAAAAGCTAGAAGTCCTAATTTAGTGCCTAGAGTTACCGTCCATATTTCCAATATATATGCGAAATGCCATGCCCAGTAAAAAAAAAGGAGAATCGTTTGTTTCTATGCATGTCGTCGTCAACATGAATCTTGGAATGTTTGTCAAGAAGCATGAAATTCGATACGATGGTTGTACCTTAAACGTTATGAATTTTTTTTAAATGAAGAATTTTGGCGGTGGTTGTACCTACGGGCAGAGCATCTTATAACTTATCGTTACACTTGGTTATGGATTCGTCATTCATCGTCGTTT